AAGCTTCATAGTAGTTATGAGGGGAGGCAGGAAAGGGTTAGAGGGCCCAAGCTGCTATTAATGCTAGAATAATGCGGAAAGGATAGTAGTAATAATTGCACAACATGAGGAATCTAATTAATGTGACTGAATGATCCATGCAAAATTTGGTGAAATGACATATTTTTACAATAAGTAAAATGAAATGAACCTGTTTAAAACATAAACAAAGCCATTTTCTTTGTTTCTTTGCCTACCCCTCTGATTACTATTTTCTTCATCATCAAGTTTCTTTTATCATTTTTTAAATTAATTTTAATGAAAATGTACAGAGACTTTAGATTTCCATTCATTCATTGTTGCACATTTCTCTCTGCCCATCCCTCCCCAGTCCCAGTACACTCTTCTCTTTGAAAAGTAAAAGAAAAATTCTTCCATTGTTTTACAATCTTTCCCCCGAGGTCCACTCCACTATACAGCCTTCATTCTGGACTCCTGTCATGATAGTAATACCTAATCACATATCCCTTTTAAACAGTTTTCTCCCTCATCTGTTTTCAATGCAGTATACATTATTTATTCCATCTTTCTCAGTCTCCCCCCAAACCCAATGTCAGTCCCATTTTACAACAGTGGCACTATGCAGTATTTGTCCTTATGTGACTGGGATACTTCACTCAGCATACTGTCCTCCAGGGTCACCCATTTTTAATAATATTTCATGAGTTTGTTTTTCAATGCAGTGTAGTATTCCATTGTGTGAATATACCACACCTTCTCTTTCCATTCGTTTGCTGATGGGCACTTAGGTTGTATCCAACTCCTTGTTATTGTGAACACAGCCGCAATAAACATGGGTGTGCATATATTTGCTTGGATGTCATTTATGGTCTCTTTGGGGTATATTCCCAGTAGTGGAATTGCTGGGTCAAATGGTATTTCTATTTGCAACTTCTAAAAAAAACCACCACACCGCCTTCCACAGTGGTTGCACCATTTTATATTTCCACCAACAGTGAATAAGGGTTCCAGTTTCTCCAGAACCTTGCCAGCATTTGTTGCTTGCCCTTCTGTTAAATTTTTCTATTCTTACTGGGGTGAGATGGGGTGAGATCTTATAGTTGTTTTGATTTGCATCTCTCTTAGAGCTAGGTATTTTGAATATTTCTTCATGTATTGTTGGCCATCGGAATGTCTTCTTTGGTGAAGTGTCTTTTCATATCCTGTGCCCATTTTTCAACTGTTTACCTTTATCTTGTTGTGGTGAACATCAAATTTCTTAAAAGACTTAAGTTACCAGCGAGCTCTGGTGGCCTAGTGGCAAGAAGCTGCACTGCAATCCCAGAAATGAGTGGTTCAAATACATACACACACACACACACACACACACACACACACACACACCCCAAAGTTACCTTGATTGCTCACCTTTCTTATCTGCTTCATACTCACTCTTTCTCTATCTCTTAAAAACTATGTGTGTGAGAAGAAACTGACGACAACAACAACTAGAAAGATTAGACAGGAACCTTAGGGGACAATGAGCTGATATTCCTGGAGGAGAAATAGCTCAGAAAAGGAAGGAGAGTCATAGTGGTTACACAGCTCAAAGATCACAACCAGCCCACTGAGCTGTACCTGTAGAAGCAGTTGAATTGGTGTATGTTTTTATGTATATATTCTTGACAACTTCAAACAACCAACCACAGTGGAAAAGCCAAACACCATTGCCATTCACTCTCAATTCCCTGCAAACTGAGTTCTTAAAGATGCCATATCAGCAAATACAACAGGCACTCTTAGTGTTCTAACTTATTTGGTCACTACATCGAGTATCTGTCTGTGTTGAGTTCCTGGCATCAAGCTAACACACGCGGAAGATAGCCAATCTTTCCTTCCTATTTGTTGATTTCCTACACTTTTCCATTGGAGATGGTGAGGATGGCACAGGATAGTGTCAGGGTCTGATCCTGTTGGTCACAGAGTTGCTATGAGTGGTAGTTGACTTAATGGCACATATGAACAAAACAGCCACAGACATCTCTGACAAGGGCAGGTAGTCAATATAACCACCTGAAGATTTTGGATGTGCCTGCCCCTGAAATCCCATGAACCATTAGAAGTCTCCAACTTGCCATTCAACCTTATTAGTCCCCTGCAATTGCATGAGCCATTTTTTGGAAGTAATTATCTCTGTACATATACACATCTCACTGGTTCTGCCCCTATAGATAACCCAGCTAAGACAGAGGTATGAAGAGCAATACTCTGGACAGGACAGCATGAGCAAACAAATAGAAGGAAAACAGTACAAAATGGTGGTTGCATTACAGGAAATCACAGTCACCTTCAGTAGGGTATAAGGGACCTTCAGGTATGGTTTTCTGTTCTAAATTGAGCCTTAATGGATGAGTCAGCAACTATATGGAGTTAAGGACTTCCTAGAAAGACAGTACAAGGGTGCAAAGTATGGCATCTTGGGAGTGTTTTAAGTAATCCAGGATGATGACTGAAGTTAAGGGCATATGGACACAGTAGCTTTGGCTAGAAATTAACAGGAATCAAGAAGGGAGTATATGTTGTGCTGTATTTCTTTAGCATTATCACTTCAACGACTACAAAGAAGACACAGCAGATGAAGTGAGGAGACAAGTTAAAAAAGAAAGCTACTGCAATGATGAGAGTGGTCATTGATGGAGAAGGATTTAAAAGTTATGATCAGTGGTAGTAGTGGTTGTTATTGAGTAGCATGAAATCAGAACCAACAGGTAGCTAAACACATGGGAGGGGATTGCCGTCTTTGACCCTTGGAGCAGCTGGTGGATCAGAAACACATGCCTTTGGGATTGCAGCACAGCTTCTTACCACTGGAAGTATTAAAAATAGACTTCTGATTCAGATTCAGTGTGATTCTCAGTGTTGCCACTGTCTGTTGTAACCTTGTTGGGTAAGTCACATAATTCTCTAATTCAGGATAATAGTAAAATCTACCTCAAGGAGTTGCTGCCATGATGTACTAATGTAATATATACCCAGCATAAAATGCAGGCTGGAGTACATGCATCAGTAATTGCACTTGGTTGACTAGATACAGGTGCTAAAAGAGAGCAGTGAAGGAGCATCACAAGGGCTCCAAGGCTTCTGGCCTGCCATTCACCTAGCAGAAAGCAGAGGCAGGAGTGAGTAGGTAAGGAAGGAGAACTGGGAGAGGAGGCATAATTTGTTGAGTTTGCAAGCACCCAGGGTTGGGTCTCTCCCACTGTATGTACCAAGAATGCAAAGCCCGGGCCACTTTTGTATCTGGGTTACAGCTTGGTGCTTTGCTTGCAGCGAGTAGTCTTGAAGGATGAGGGTGTCTTTTCCTCCAGGACGAAGCACAAGCTTGGTTGCTGCTTTCTATAAAAGCAGTAGTCTTCCCAAGTTCTGCCCCTTAGCTGTTAGCCAATCCCACTGAAGGCTCTGCCTGGATCTGAACAGCGCCATCCCTTGTCGTGGGGGCGAGGGAAACCAATGCAAACTTGCTGACCGCCATGCTTCTTGATGTTCCCTGAGTAACGCAGTCTTCTATCACTGGTCGAGGAGTTTTCTGTTTCCTTCCAGCATCCGTGAGTCAGTCCCAAGTTAATTTATTAACTAATGAGCTGGAAAGGGAGACCTGAGCTAAGGAGCTCGAGGAAACATGAGAAAACACAGAGGGGAGCAAGCCTTCCCAGCCAGGGGTGTAGAGTTTCAATCAAAACACAGCCTGCAATAGGCTCAGACGCTGCTAGAGATCAGGTAAAGGAAGACTGAAAGCGAACACCTCATTTGGGCCACTGACAAGAGGAATTTCCGTGAAGCCGCATGGCCAGAAGCCAAACGTGTTGAAGAATAAATGAAGAAAAGACAATCTCAAAAAGTTTCGGTGAAAAGAGATGGGGTGAATGGTAAATGACGTTTACTTTTTAAATAGATGAAAGAGTTTGGGGCAGATTACATTATATTGAGAAAAATAAAACAGGGAAGAGGATAAAGGGGTCGCCAGTGGGAGTGGGCAGCTGGTGCTAACTGCAGTCATACCTCTGGGGTTTTGCACCGGGATTACCCCCAAAGGCCCTCCTCCAAAAACTGTGAGTAGCTGAAATTAGCTGAAATCCGGAGAAAAAGGCAGTTCTTAACATCTTTACCGTGCAGACCCTTCGACAGACTGAAGGAAGTAACAGATCCTTTCCATAAAAAGGTTATGCAGTCGTACACAACTATGCGCGGTTTCCAGGGTCACAGGCCAAGCCCTATTGCCACTAGTCTCCTGCAGGCCCCATCTCACAGGAGTGACCATCGGCACCATCCGCAATGCTGGCTGAAAATTCCCATCCCAGGCCCCCATCCCATGGGGGCAGAGGTTCTCCTGCAGTCAGTCTGGGGGAGGCCTGGGAGTCGACCTTTGTACCCAGTGCCTCAAATGACTTGGGCGCTGGTTCTCAACGAGGGCCCCTGGAGAAATTCTGCCTCTGTCCGCTAATGTGCCCAGCTCCGGGCAGCACCAACCGCCTTGCCGCCCTGTCCGTTGCCTCGCCCTCGCGTAGTCCGAAAGCATCTGCGTCGCCGGGCGGAGCCCAAGGGGCGGGGCGCCCGCCGGGTGAGGGCGGTGCAGTGTGGCGGCCGGCAGGGGGCGTG